CATACGATTACGCAAACACTCCTTGGAAAAACCAAGCTTAAAGTTATGTGCATACGCCCCCGTGATCGGTGATACTGAGAGCCTCCTCAATGGAAACACAACATGCTGTGTTATACGAGGAAAGCATTGCCACCACAGGGATGCCGCTTACTACCTTCAAGTGTGTAGATTGTGTCTTACTAACTCTTTTGAAATGAAAGCTGCTTGGTCTCTATATAGGGAGCTAGGAGGTGAATGTCTCGCTTTCTCAATTGACACATAACTTACAAAAACTAGAGAATACCCCGCGCGTTGACGCGGGAATCGATTGCAATATATTTCAGTGATTCGATTGTATGAAGCCTCCATAGTTGAATTAACAATATATGAACCAATGTTGGGGATATCGCTTATCGAGAACTTATCGGTCGACCCATAATAAGGGGTAAATCGGCCAGTTTATCGGCATATCGGTCGATTTATCGCCATATCGGCTGATTTATCGGCCGATTTATCTAATCAGTCTGACAGCGGTAAGCGATAAATCGGCCAATTTATCGGCATATCGGAAGATATCTTAACAGTGATATGAACTAAAGCTGAAACTAAGTATTATATAATGTATTTGATTATTGTGTTGTCGGAAAATATTTTGAATATAAGTGGCATAACGTAGTATAATAGAATTTTTTCCATGCATTTTGAGTGGACCTTTAATAAGGTGGCATGTGTGGTGAGGCGAAAGATGTGCATGAGATCAATTAATAATAATAAAAAAAATTCTCATGCATGTAGTGGTGGGCCTTTGATGAGGTGGCACGTGTGCATGTTGAGATAAATATGATAGTAGGGATCAACTTTTTATGAATATAGGATTGGATGGCACACATTGCAGCGCCTGTCTATATCTACGATGAATACTAGAATTTCTTGTGAGTATATGGAGGCATGGAAAATGAATTTAAGAAATGTTTATTTTTTTATTTTTATGTGTAACCTGATATTAACTGCGGAGTAGGGAGTCATATATTTGTGGAGCAATGCTATTCCTACATGCAGTTTTTACCAGAAGTTTACCTACTAGTTGAATTTAACGATGGTTAGCTAAACTTATGCGAGATGGCCTAAATCTGGCAAACATATTGGGTTTTAACAGGGTTGAAGTGGAGTCTGATTCCTTGAGTGTGGTGAACTGTTGTTAAGGAAAAAACCATTGGTGGGATGCAGCGGTGGCGGTCTTCGCCGAATGCATTGATATGGCAACTTCGATAGGAAATGTCATCTTTTTTTATTGTTTTTGTGAAGAAAATTTGGTAGCTCATGAGCTAGCTAAATTCAGTTTTTGTAATAAGTGTGAGACGACTAGTTGGACTGATGAACCTCCTGGGTTCTTAGTTCCACCTCTAATGAACGATGTAATTCTTATTTGATCTTAATAAAGCTAGCCATGATGGCCTTTTCAAAAAAACAGTCCAGAGTAGTACGTAGAGTTTTTTTTTTAGCATAGAAAGGCATGTTCACAAATAGTAGTTTGCAGGATCCTCTCCCAAGGCAGCATAGAAAACCTAACGCCGAGTAAGCAGAGTGATGTTTAGCAAACTCTGAACGAATAATCATGTCTGCAAACTCTAAATCCCAACATGAACGAGACGGAAAACTATTTCCTACATTAGATCTGCATGCAAATGTAGTACTTACCTTTTCCCAATCTTGACATGAAGAAAAGGAGAGACGTCTAATCTTGGACCATTAAGCAATAGTATTAAATAACTTCAAATCTGAGTGCAGGAACAACAACTATTAAGTTGCTCATAACAGATTTTCTTTTCATATAATGATATAACCATTAATGAATTCTCCGTTTTCATTAACAAAGCAAAGCAGGTAGCAACTGTCTTAGAGATGACAAGTACATAGTACATATAAACATTGGGTCATTCCTTTGCAGGGAAGGGCCGGCATACTTTTCTACTGCATAGTATGCATATGGGACAAACACCGCGTCGCCCCGCTAGGGCGACACGGGGGCGATCTCGCGCCGCCGCCCCTCGTCGTCACCGCGTTCCCTCCTTTCCTCGCCGCTGCCAGAGGCTAGCGCCGGGCAGGCCCTGTGCGCAGCCAAGGAAGGTGGCGGCAGGGAGCTTCTCGCGCTCGGGCAGGCGCATGGATCGGATCCGCCAGATCCGTCCGGCCCGGGCCTAGGGTTTGAGGCGGCGGCCTCCACTTGTGAGGGCGGCGTCGTTCGGGAGGCTGGCGGCGCTTGCCGGAGTTGTGGACCGCGTCTTCTCGGTCGCGCGGGCGGTGGATGCGGGCGCCACGTGGAGGGATCCCCTGTTGCTCTCCTTCGCCAGATTTGAAGACGGCGCCCCCGTGCTGCTGCTTCCTCCTCGTCAATCCGGCCGGATCCGATGACGGACTGCGCGGATGTGGGGTTGGGATCTCTGGATCGGAGTAATTTCTTGGCCAGCTGCGGCAGCCACGACGCCGGCGGTGCCCCAGGCGCTGTTTCCTTCTTGAAGGCGGCTTCGAGATCCAGCTCCCTCCCCCTCGTCCTCCCCCTACACCCGGGTGGAAACCCACAACTTTGGTTGGGCGGCGGCGGTGCCCGGCTCCGTCACCTTCTTGAAGGCGCCGCTTTGGGTCCGCGGGGAGGTGGGACAGCTGCAGCGCGTTCTTGGCGTTCCTGATGGCGGCGATTCTCTTTAGTGGTGTCGCTTCGCCATGGCGGTCGGCTGGTCCGGCTCTCGTGGTGATTGTGGTGCCCAACTTCTTCGCCGTGTCTTCCTAGGGTGCTCCCATCCCGAGCAGAGAGGCTGGAGGTGGAGCGGCTTCATCTTGCACGGAGCTTCGGTGGAGATGTCAAGTCATGCCTGACCGACAGGTGCAACGCTTTGTCATGCCTGGTCGGCAGGTGCTACACACGACAGATCTTCCAAAGACTTCAAGCTGTGTCGGTTGGTGGTACTTGGCAGCATGGTGCTGAGGTGTATCAGTGGAGACCGCGACGTCCTCAGATGTTTGCGCGCAGGGAGGAGGTGCCGTTGGGCGCCGTGGTGGCGTCAACGATAGCTGGACCGAGCAAGGTTGATGCATTAGTACAGTTCTGAAGATGGAGCGGTGGAAGTTGGTGGCGGCGGCCTCTGAGTGCACGCCGGACCGGTGAGACCCATGCCCGGCACGCGTCCTGGATGGGATCTCAGGTCTTAGATGTTAGGTTTGGCTGCGATGCCTGTTTGGTATTAGGCCCAGGCTATCTGCGCCCCTTCATTAACTGGATAGAGTGGCTTAGACGGTGGCTTTAGTCTTACTATTGTATTACTTTGTAAGGTCTTATGAGAATAATTAATAAAGTGGCCGTATGCATCGCCCAGATGCAGAGGCCGGGGGTCATCCTCCTTTTCTAAAAAAAACACATATGCGCTCTCAAATAATCTTGGTACTTGGCTCACGGCTACGCTTCTGCATTCCTCCCATGGGCAGACTTGAGAAGCTCAGTTAGCACCAAAGGGCAGCTTGCCTCCAGGTGCTTATACCCTTCAGTTGCCAGGACAGCGTCAAGAACTTCAGGAGTGCTGACGATGAACTTGACACACTTGGTCTTGAGCTGTGAACAATTGTGTTGCTGGGCTAAGGCCAGAGTTGTCCCTGCCGTGTCCACAGTGATACCACGAGAGAGCTTGGCCTCGCATATCAGCTTGAGCCTGTCCACTCCATACCTGTCAGCGGCTGCGAGCAGATGCTGAGCCATCGCCGTCAACACCTCCTCCTGCTTTTCCAATTCAGGGACCGTGTCCGTGTAGATGAAATGGATCATGGCTCTGAATGCTTCCGGTTCCATGTCCATGATCACCACATGCCGCGAGCTCTTCTCTTTCATTTCTCCAAAGAACTGGGCATTGAAAACAGGAGACCTGGCGGCGAGTATGCTCTTGTGGGCACGAAACGACTCGTTGCATATGAGAAACGTCACATCCGATCCCATCTTGCTCTGCAGGATATCGCCGAGGTGCTGGTGCAGGTTGGAGGATGGCACGGGAACCTCTTCAGCTGGGATCCTTGGTACCGGTAAGGGCCTGAGTACTGCGATGGCGCACTGTATGGTCAAAGTATCATCCTTGAGATAACCTTCCAAATCATCTCTACGCCTGAGAAACACGCGATGCCAGCATTCACCGGCGTAAGAGAAGGTTCCTGCCGCACTACCCTCTTGAAATGTTTCAAGGATCCGGCTCGGATGTACCAGCCGACAGGCTAGGCTCGCTTCCACGCTGGATTCACGGGGTCTACTGCACAAAGAAAGCAATAGTGACACCCAAAGGTTGGTGCTGTCCGTGCCTCGCTTCGAAGCAGGATGGATACGGACTTCCCACTCGTACCCATCGACGGTGCATCTGGATGGAATGTACCTGTCTGGACCACCGATCCTCTTCATGCACTCCGTGGCGCTGAAGCCTTGGACCTTGAGCAGCCGCACCAAACGTGCGGCGTCGGTGACATTTGTGCAGGCACCATCCATGGCGGCGAAGGTGGTTGGTAGAAGGAACTCGGATGAAAATGGCTCAGGAGAAAGTGGAGCAGTTCAATTTATGCAGGAGGGGGTTACTTTGGAAACCGGCGACCACTCAATCGGGGTACGACTGCATGCATGGGCGTTTGATTAATCGATGCAGAATACCAACGGTTGCAGTAATTACGAGACTTGTGCGCTTCCACGCGTTGGGACTTGGGACTGTGGAGAGCCTTCCTCGATCATAAGCGTCGCTCCGTCTTCGCCCGTTTCACGTACTAGGTACTACTACCAACAGGAGTAGCGTTACTCGTAAAGATTTGTATCCGCTTGACGCTATATTACCAACAGGAGTAATAAAATCGCCCATTATCAAAGAAAACTGAAAAGAGAAATCCGGAAATTCAAAATAAACCTCACGTATGTCACACTTGGGCAACTGATATCCTCTATTCTTAAATAGTTACAACTCACTACCTAATTTTGCTTTCCATGCAACAATGCCACATCACCAAGTCATGCATGTAGTCATTTTTCGATAAAGAGTGGATTTTATTGACTCAAAATGAAGCATCAAGTGGATATAAACACAGTGAGTACACACCAGGCCTCTGCATAGCTAGGATGCATACAACCAACACTAACACACGCAAAAAAACACACGTCATCAAATAGCAAAGTCATATACGACCAACGCTACGCGTAGGCGAGGAAAAAGAAGACATAAGAGATAAGATCCATCATCGCAAACTACAGAAATGACCATATCCACACCAATCATCTAATGACACCACATGAACGACGAGATTCTTCAATAGCAACACCTTCAGAAAGGGAGCGACACTCAAGCGCCGTCATCACCGGATCCAACCACCAAGACCAGAATCTAGGTTTTCACCCTGAAGAAGCAGTCCAAGCATATCCAAATAATGCCTTCAACAAGGTAGTCTCCATTGCCAAGTATAACCACTTCCGGTCAGACCTAGGCTGTCGCCCTGGAGCTCGAGTAGTCGAGCACCACCATGACATTACTCATGTGATGTCACCACCGCTTTTCCACGATCCCAGCAGCAACATGCGATGTGAACGCCGCTGCACAACCATACCTTTGCGTCAAGTCATCGTCCGTAGTTTGCATCAAACCATAATCCCAGCAGCTACTTGCGATCTGGAGAAATCCTCACGAAGATATTTCGATGGTTAAGGTCACCACACTGCAATGAGGCCACCGCCGCAGCCCGGAGATCCGGGGGCCGTGCATCTCGCCAAGGCTGCCTGCCGCAAGTGGAACCCGACACTGCTTCCGGCGGGCAACGCCAGTGTCATGACCACCGCTGCGACAAGAGGCATCACTAGCCCCTGCTAAGTCTGGCAGCAACAGGTGTGGGGCCTCATCTCTGGTCTCCTCAGCAGGAGCTAGCTCCGCACAAGGACGGGAGCCATGGCAACCCCGTTGGCGGCGGCTGCGAGTCGTGATCGGATCTGGACGAAGTTTTCCCACACTACGGTGAACCAGATACATGCTCCTCTACACGTGAGGCCATAGCCAGCAACAAGAGAGCAGCCGTCGCATGCCGCCGACAGAATTCAAGGTTCGGTTGGAACTGAGGCCCAAGCTATCCACCAACAGATCACCAACAACACGGGGAAGAACAGCCCTGCTACCTTTGGCACGGGCCGGCCCTTGCGGCGATGGCGGCGAGGAGGGCAAGGAGTAGGGGGCTGAGCAGCGGCGGGAGG